TTTAAGTGAAAATAAATGGAAGGTTGTCTTTTTGCGCTAGTAATGTTGTGGAGTTGTATTTTGTCTTGCATCAATTATATCGTCAGTTATATCGTTATCGCAAATTTTCAAATATATATCATGATAAATATTTTTGGCCATATCGCCCTGCTTTAATGGCATCACTTTAAATCAACAAACTGAGATTCAGTTTAACTTCGTAAAGCAGTTGTGCACATCAGCCCAAGGAGGAGGAGCCTTAATCTGTGTCACATGCTCAGTCATGATCAATACTGATCAGCTTTTGTTCAGTGGTCAATAAAAGCTGTTCTCACTTTCTTTTGAAAGGTCTGTGTGAGCTTTTACTCTCTGCACTCAGATTGTTGATCACTGATGGAGCTGCTGTGTGTGTGTGTGTGTGTGTGTGTGTGTGTGTGTGTGTGTGTGTGTGTGTGTGTGTGTGTGTGTGTTTATTGATTGGATTCTGAACCAGTGTTTTGTTTTTGTCTCTGAAACTAAGTGTAAATAAAGTTTTTTGAAGCTTCACCATTTTGTCAACGATTTCCTGCAGTTTGAGACATTTGTCCTGCAGCTCGGAGGCTCCGCCCACGTGCTGTGATGAGGAAGAGGGTGGAGGTGATGAAGAGTTGTTGAGCAGCAGCTGATCGCTCTGAGCACTGAAAACAGATTTCAGATCAATCAATCACATGATCGATCAACACCTGGCATTCCTGAAATCATCAGTAAACTGACCGCCTCATGTTGATGATGCTCTCCACCGCCATGAAGCCATCCTCATTCAACCTGTCCCACCGCAGCATCATGTTGTGCCAGTCGGCAGCGTTGTCTTTGATCTTTCTCGCACTTCCTGTGATCGCAGCAGACTTCCTGTTTGCTGACGTCACTGAGATGTCACCTGAAAACAGAGTCACGTGATTTTGTTGTTGATGGTTTTAGTGACAGAGCGTGCAGGCGACACAAGACAATCCATAAAACCTGCGTAAACCTCGGTTCTCAACGTGCAGCTCGCCGCCTCACAGCGGCCTCTGTCACTTCCTGTGATCTCACAGCTCAGAACGTGACAACATTTCTAAACTTTTTGTGTAAAAAAAAAAAAAAGTCATTTAAAAAAAACAAAAAAAAAACATACAAATGTCAAAAATTTTAATAAAATGAAGTAAAGCAAATTAAAAACAAACAAATATGAGCGGCTGCTCGTCACTGACCAATCAAAGACATGATGCTACTTTAACATGTGCAGCCTTCAGGAAGTCACCTCATTGCATCATTCAGCTGTCAAAGGTCAACCGTAACTAACCCTAACCCACCATGAAGCCGGTCCAACATATCCAGGATTTCTTGCCTTGTCTGGCTTCACTGACCTCATCCACTGCAGCCAGAGCTCACTTCATCCAGCTAACTCAGGGTTTACCTGGCTTTAGCCGGGTCAGGGGGTATTTCACCATGGTAACGCTGCCGGTCTGAAGCGATAATGATTCCTGCTGGTCAATAATCGATATCAAGCTGCCCACCTTTATGGTCCACGTGACTCCAGGCAAAGGTGAAATCCTACAGGGACCTCAGGTGTATACATATGACGTCACTCTTTGTTGTCGTTTTGGTCTCTAAGCTCTGACCCTGAGCGCGTGATCGCTGATTAATAACGGAAAGGCTTCCGCCAGTCAGCTGATACCTTTTGCTGCGCGTGCCATCGATCAGCTGGTTAGTCACGTGTGGATCGATTATCAATCACCCACCTTCCATCTGATCGATCAGCTCCGACCAGCTCCACCCGCTCAGCTTCTTCTTCGGCGGTTTTTCTTCCAGTCGTCTTCTTTGACCGCGGGTGTCTGGTTTCCGGTCTCGGCACTCCTCAGGTAAACTCACCTGTGCGCGAGAAGCAATGTTCTGACTTTAAACTGATTTTCTGCTCTTACACGTGACTGACGATGCAGCCTTTTCAATTCTCTGACATGCGCAATAACGTCTGAAACTTACTGGCCGTGACGTCAGCACTGGGACCGGATGTTGTAAGTAAGTGTCACTGCGCCTGCGCTAACACTGGGACTGCCGTACTTTTACTGACTCTCTTTTTCTGTGGAGATCTTTTAAAATCTGGCGATAATCAATAATATCACGCAGGCGCAGGCAGAGTGAGAAGAACTGTTGGAGCTGACCATAGACACGATCTCAGCTAATCAAAAAGGCGGTGTTGCGGCTGTGATGACGTCAGGGCCGCTGCTCAGGTAGCTCCGTGATCGATTATCGGAGGTGAGAGATGGCGCTGCAGCTTCCGGCCGAGTTGTGGCTGAAGGTGTTCAGCTTTCTGTCCTGGAGGGACAAACTGAGCATGCGCTGCACCTGCTCATACTTCAGACACCTGCTGGATAAGTCCCGCCCCCTGTGGAGGGGCTTCAGCGTGGTGCTGCAGAACCTCTCGCGCTATAACCGCTCGTTCTGGCGTAGCCTGGCTCAGAGGCACGTGGGCAACGTGCTGCTGCGCTCAGGTAAGAGGAAGCACCTGAAGCAGCTGCACGCCTGGCTACCGTCGCTCTGCGGCCTGCGACTGGACAACTGGAGAGAAGGGGGCGTGGATGATCTCAGACTGTTCCGCCAGCTTCAGCGACTGTCCGTCACTTCCTGTTCCATACCGCTGAGGAACCTGGACTTCCTGTTTCCTCTGAGTCAGCAGCTGACGCAGCTCAGCCTCTGTAACGTGCAGCTCACCTGTTCTGCCTCTCACCTGTTGGCCACCGTTGGTCAGTTGACGTGTCTGACCTCGCTACTGCTGCACCACGACGGCAGCCTAAGGGTCCCGTCCCTCAGCGGTGTCCTCGCTCACCTGGGCGAGCTCACACACCTGTCCTGGACCATGATCACCTACAGGACGCTTCCACACGACTTCTTCAGCCCCGCCCACCACACAGGTTGGCACACCTGGATCAGTCGCTCGCTGAGATATGTAATAGTTAGATTATTGATCTTGATGGTTAGGCACTGGTGTGTTCTGCCTTCCTGCTGACCTGCCTCACCTCTGAGATGGAACAGAGACAGGCGAGATCAGACGTCACATGGCTCAGGTGTGTTTTATCGTCCTGCAGGTGACGCCGCATTGCAGCTGCTGGACTTGCAGCTGCTGAATTATGACGCCGTGGTGACACAGGAAACGCTGCAGCCTTTGTCCCGCCTCCGTAGCCTGTCAGTGTTCCACCTGTACTCCGTACCTGGACCCACCTGTCACCTGCAGACGTGGCTGACGTCACTGCCACACCTAACCAACCTCAGCATCCACGGTGAGTGTCTGTTTCCCCCCTTTGTATTTGTCTATCTGAGCATCTCTCTTATGTCTGCATATTCTATAGGAGGCCACCCCCTGGCATCGTACGCTGACTTCCTGCCCACCTCGCTGCTCAGCCTGACGCTGTGTGTGGACCTGCAGCCCAACGACCTGCGGGTGGTCTCCGCCCGGGCACCGCAGCTTGAGCATCTTCACCTGGAGCCCTGGAGCTCTTCGTCCGACCTCATCAGACTCCTCCCACAGCTGTTCCCTCATCTGAAAACGCTGCGGATAAGGTGAGCCCGACACGTCACACGCAGTGTCTCTGTTGTAAGTGTCATGATGATTTCCATGGTAACCTGCCATCGCTGTTTCAGGCACCAGCACGTGTCTGACGATGATTTCCTGCAGCTGCAGCGACTGCGGCGCCTCGACACTCTGGAGGTTCTGGACTCGTATTACAGACCTGACCCGAGCGACCCAAGCCGGGTCATCTTTGAGCCGAGTCCTCGTTTGCTGCGGCTGACCTCTGACCTGCAGAGACTGACCAATCACAGAGTCAGAGTCATCACCAGCTCACATGGAGACCTGCTCAGCTGCCACTGTGTCTGACCAGTCCATGGCTGTGTCCCAATTCAGGGTCTGCACGCTTGAAGTACGCACACTACGCGTACTACGTACGGTGCGTACTATAAGTACGAGAAGTGCGGAAGTGAGAGGCTTGTGAAATGGGATGGTCTAGCCTTCGTCGCGCTGTTCAGGTTGCCTAGCAACCATGATACTAACCGTGAGAAACGGTACATACAGCTTTGTGTGACAGAAATGAAGGAGAAAAAATGTTTTGTTGGTCATTCATTTTTGTCATGACATCACTTTGATTAGTTGAGTATCTGAGGCTGAGACCACGGGACTGTAAAACATGATTGTTGGGCTTCATTTCTGTGCTGAACAGTCATTTAAGATTAGCTAGTAAATAACAATTAGTTAATGTTGTTCATGAGACTAAAGTCAACTCACTGTGGTAATTTAAATATAATATGGCCAATATTATAGTATTGTCAGATTATAATGAGATATATGTGTGTGTGTGTGTGTGTGTGTGTGTGTGTGTGTGTGTGTGTGTGTGTGTGTGTGAGATAAATAAGGCTTTACAACCAAGTTAACGCTGAAAGTACAGACATCACTAATGTCACTTTGCCGACATGTGGCCAACAGAAATGTTTTAATGTTCTTCATTATTAAACATTCGCACATAAATTCTTGACATCATATTCAGTACTTACTTTTGACAGTTCACTCTTCGGCCGCTCCCTTCTGCCGTATTTCGCGGCAAAATTATCCACACCCACCGCCGCGCTATGAATTGTGGGATATATGGGACCACGAAGCGTGCACTGGACCACGCTTGATATTTGGGGAAATCGACGGCGCATTTGGAGTATGCATTTGAAGCACACTTCCAATTGGGACAGCTGTCGTGTGGCGGTGACGTAATCACACTTAAAATGCGTACTTCAAGCGTGCAGACCCTGAATTGGGACACAGCCAGTGAGAGTCTGCCCACCGCGATCAAGATGTAAAACAAAAGCTGGGCCATCGCATCACCTTCAGCTTACTATCCAATTGGCTTTCAGGATCAGCCACCTGGGCCCAACAGAACCATTCATTTATTCTTTCACCTGCGGCTTCCTCACAGATACGATACGAAAGAAAGGACGAGGTCATCGACATCATCATCACAGGGGGAGGGGACACGGCCGGTTCAAAGCTTCTGTGTAGTCATGGTTACACTCAATGATATGGTGAGGGTCCGGCCGCAGCTGCCGTTATCACTGCTGCATTCTGGGTAACGCTTTGGTAATCAATCACTTTATTGAACCTTTGATTTCAGACACTGAATGTGTTTCGGGACTTTGAATCGGTTGATAAATAAAAAGTTGTTTGTTTGTTTTTTATTTGATTTATTGCAGGGTTTGAACTTTAACCTTTTTCTGAGGTCACATGTCATATTTGAATCTTTTGAATAATGACACGCGTTTTCTTCAAATGTCAAAATAAAACTTCTTCCTGTTTTGATTTATTTTGTCTGGATTTTTTTTTCTGCTTCAAAAACCAAACAAATATTTGAAACAAAAAAAACAAAACAAGACTGAAAAACATTAAAAAAAAAAAAACATTTAACAAACCAATAATTAACTACCTACAGATTTACTAATCAGACTTATTGATCTTCTGTCTATTAACCTAACCGGAGAGTTGGGGTCGATTCTTTGTTCAACTGGCTTGGCTGTAGCTCAGGTGGCAGAGCAGGTCAGCCACTAATCAGAAGGTCGGTGGTTCGATCCCAGGCTGCCTCCTGGCTGCATGCCAAATATCCTTGGGCAAGATACTAACCCCGTGTTTGCCTACTGGTGGTGGTGGTCAGAGGGCCCGGTGGCGCCAGTGTCCGGCAGCCTTGCCTCTGTCAGTGCGCCCCAGGGCAGCTGTGGCTACAACCATCACCAGTGTGTGAATGACTGAATGTAGTGTAAAGTGCTTTGGGGTCCTTAGAGACTTGAGTAAAGCTATACAAATGCAGGCCATTTACCATTCAATACAAGCAAGCAATTTATTTATATAGCACTTTCAGATCAGCCCCAAGCTGAACACAAAGTGCTTTACACCTCACATGCCAGAAATGATACATTAAACATGTTAAAAAATAAGAAATAACAAAATAAGCTGATTATTAAAATGATATTTAAAATAATAAAATTAGCACAAATAGCAAAAACAATAATAAAATAGTATAAAAATGATGATGAGAATTACATTTAAAACAATAAAATCAGGGTCAGACTGTGTCATGAGCCAAGGAGTAAAAATGGGTTTTAAGACGTGTTGTAAAAGTGGACAGTGAAGGGGCCTCTCTAATGTGCTGGGGCAGAGAAGGCCCCGCCCCCTCTGAGCTTCCTCTTGGACCTGGGTACCTCCAGGAGCAGACCTGGGGGGTGGGTAAGGACAAAGAAGCTCAGAGAGGTAAGTTGAGGCAAGACCATTTAAACATTTAAAAACAAACAGAGAATTTTAAAATGAACTCTAAGATATACAGGAGCCAATGAAGAGGAAGCCAAAACAGGAGAAATCTGCTCTCTCTTTCTAGTCCCTGTCAGGACTCTTGCTGCAGCATTTTGGATTAGCTGAAGGCTTTTCAGTGAGTTTTTTGGACATCCTGATAATAATGAATTACAGTAGTCCAGCCTGGAAGTAATAAATGCATGAACTAGTTTTTCAGCGTCACTCTGAGACAGGATATTTCTAATTTTAGAGATGTTGCGCAAATGGAAGAAAGCAGTCTTACATATTTGTTTAATATGTCGTTGAAGGACATGTCCTGGTCAAAAATGACTCCAAGGTTCCTCACAGCGTTACTGGAGGCCAAGGTAATGCCATCCAGAGTAAGAATCTGGTTAGATACCATATTTCTAAGATTTTCAGGGCCGAGTACAATAACCTCAGTTTTATCTGAATTAAGAAGCAGAAAGTTAGCGGCCATCCAGGTCTTTATGTCTTTAAGACATTCCTGCAGTTTAACTAATTGGTGTGTGTTATCTGGCTTCATGGACAGATAGAGCTGGGTGTCATCTGCATAGCAGTGAAAATGTATGCTATGTCTTCTAATGATGCTGCCTAAGGGAAGCATGTATAATGTAAACAGAATTGGTCCTAGCACTGAACCCTGTGGAACTCCATAATTAACCTCAGTGTGTGAAGAGGACTCTCCATTTACATGAACAAATTGGAGTCTATTAGATAGATATGATACAAACCACTGCAGTGCAGTACCTGAATACCTACAGCATGTTCTAATCGCTCTAATAGGATATTATGGGCGACAGTAGGGCCGGGTATCGTCAGTGATTTCTAGAATCGATTCAATCCACAATTCAATTCGGGGAAATTTTGCCTCAGACAGAAATATTACAATTCAGCTCATGCATCAGTACATTTCCATATTTTTATATCTATAAAAAGAACGCTGACACTTGTGAGACTTTATCACAGAAAAACATCTAGGTAATTTTCCTGGCCTGGGATTTTATAAAAATATTCTGCAGTAGATCAAAAACAAAAGAAAACCATGAATCAGCATCTGAACCAAGGGCATAGATTTGGCATGGACGGAAGGGATGTGTCCCCACCAGCGATCCAGCGATTACTGAATTGTCCCCACCAATAATTTGATCTCTTCGAGTAAAGAAAAACAACCCGATAGAAAGAAAAAACGATCTGTCTCATTCACCCAGCGGTGCAGAAAGAGTTAAATTACTTCTCTACTGGAGTCCTACGTCATGTGACAAATATGGCCAATGTGATTGGCTGAGCCTTTCAGGGAGCTCTGTTTGGTTTTAGCAGCGGCAAACCTGCGCTGCGAGGAGGACGGCGGCAAAAAGGAAGAACCTGGATATAAGAAAGTATTTTTCAAAGAAACCTGTAAGTCACTTAAAGCAAAGCTCACTCATAAAATGTGTCCGTCACAATAACGTTACAGGCTATGCTAGGCTTTGGCGCACATCAGTCTAAAACTGTATGTAACCATGAATAACGTGTTTTATAAACTAACTGCACAACATGCAGCACTATTAGTTCTCTCAGTCTCAGAGCAGCATTTCTAATTTTGATTGAAACTGTCAGAAAACAGCAGCCTCGAGCAGCCAGGATATTAGTTTACAGAGGCTGTTAAATAATTTCATCCTAATGGCACTGACATATTCATAGGGTTCATTTTTGAGACAATATATCATGTAGTCACGATTTTGCAAATATCCACCTTGTAGTGCAGTTTGCACAAATTGTTGTAAAAACGCACTCAGCCTACAAACATTACTGATGAGTCAAGATCTGCACAAAGTGACAGAAACACTGAAGCAGCTCCACATTTTATTCTTATTGTCATGTATGTCCTATTTGTCAGGTGACAGAAGAACCAACACAAAGCTCAGAGAGTAATGGTGACACAAGATCACAGGTGAAATTGGATGATGACTTGCTGGTTCATGACTGTATTTGAAGCACATGTCTGACTGCATGTATGTGGAGTGTCTCATGTTGTTTATCAGGTGACAGAGGCAGCTCTGCCATGTTGTAGCTCAGAGGTGAAGAGGCGAGGTCACAGGTGACTGGCTGATGATTTGGTGCTATAGATTAACTAGTATTTATTATCATGACAATTGTCAGGCTGCTTTTAGTCATCCCAGTATCCTCAGTTGAGGCTGAAAGAAGCTTCAGTGCTCTCAGAAAACATGGCTAAAGTCAACAATGACTCAAATGAGATTAAATAATGCTGCTGTATGTCCACCAGGAGAGACTGGACAGTATAGATGTAAAATCAATATGCCAGCAGTTTATCTCTGTTAACGAGAGGAGAAGGCATATGTTTGGCTGCTTCACATAGTGGACATTGAGTTGTTGTGTGGGACACCAGTAGCATTAATGTCTGTTGCTGTAACAGTAGCTCATGCTTAGAATAGAAAATCCCAGCTCACTGATCTGATCGGGGCAATAGTGTGGCTAAAATGTTGCATAATGTTGCTGAGAGATCTTTTACTTTGTGGCAATCTTAGATGGACATAAACCACCAGGTCATTCAGTGTTCCCTTAGTGCTAATGTATCAGAGATGTTGGTGTAACTGAAGTAATGTTGTTAAGTCCTTGAACTCATATTCGTTTATTGTCATGAC